GAACGCCGCTCAGCTTCTTGGTACATGCTATCAGTTTATTCTGGTCCATGTATTCAACATGCCTAAACAATTATTCTCAATTCTATCACTCGCGACATATTCGAACACTAACCATTCGCGCAACATAAAGACGCCATCTTCAAATACTACAATCGTCTTCTCTGACTTCTCATGATCGACTGACCACGAGGCTAGCTCGGGCTTTCCCTCGCTTCCTCGACTAGGCACAAGTATCTCGTGCTGTCCCTTGTTGCGCGGACTTTCTGCTTGCCACTATGTAATCGTGAGGACCATGCAAAGCACCTCATCACATACTCCCCCCCCCCTTCTTAACAAAATGATACTTTATGGAACATCAAGTATCATTTTCCCTTTTACTGATAGATGAATCAGTGGAACATAAATCTAACTACACTACTATGGATTTCCATTCCTAGTTACCCTCAATTACTTCCTTTGGTTTTAAATTTTTACTGTATGCTTTTTGAAGTACTGATCTGGTGAAGGGTATCTCATCTTTGCACCTATTGCATCTGTAGTATAGCTTCGTCACTATATCTATTCTATCATGTTGAATTGAAATAATGATCATTGTGATGATGGTGATGATAATGGTCAGCTTTGAGATATTTACTACAGGGATAATAAATCAATTGAAATGCATTACTGCTAGGGATTATGGTTCCTGATTATCCTTAATTACTACCATTTAAAACTGCCTTCAGTATTTACTGCATGCTTTTCCTAGTACTGAGCTGGTGAAGAGTTTAAACCATCTTTACACCTATTGCATCTGTAGTATTGTCTATATCACTATATCTACTCTATCGGGTTCAAAGTGAAATGATGATATTGATGATGATGATAGTGATGATGATGATGATCAGCTTTGAGATATTTACTACATAGAAAATTGGATTTAACCAATATTTCTACATCACCTTTCACAGGGTGTTAAACCCTAAGGACTCTTAGCCGATATGATAGTGGTAAGATATATTTATCATAGTGCTTCCGGTTTCCCAATAGCCTCTACAACACCTTTTACAGAGTAATTACCCAACCCCAAGGAATCTACCACAGAAAAAAAAAAATGCATGTTGGGATATTTCTTCATAGACGAAAGTCTCACCTTTCACAGAGTAATTACCCAACTCCAAGGAATCCAACATGAAAACAATGATAGTTGAGATATATTTTTTCATAGAGCTTAGAGTTTCCTCCAAGTCTATAACCACCTTTAACAGGGTAGTTAACCCCAAGGAATCTCAGATGAAATGATGACTATTGGGATGATTTTTCATAGAGTTTAGGGTTTACCCCCCCCCCCTCCCCAGTCTCTACATCACCTTTAACAGAGTATTCAACTCCAAGGAATCCCACACACCTTTCCCCTTTAGATGGATACAGATGAGTTCAACTCCTCTACTGTGCTTGTGCTTTGATGTGTGCACTCTTTCTTTACCATCAGCATGTCTATTCAGCATCAGTATAACTATAGCCGTTCCTAATCGTGGGTGTGGTGGACAACTTTACAATGTCCCTGTGCTAAACATTTCAAATTAAATACTTTTATCAAATTCTTTCTGTGGAAAAAAATTTCTATATTATCTATCGCTAAATCTTGATTTAATTCTTTTGTGCTGTTCCTGGGGAGAGAGATCCTTTTTTTTTCAACTTTTGAACTAATGAACTCTGTCATCACCTGAATAATAAAATAATTCTAATGAGCTACTTAGGTGATATAAATGTACACTATTAATTAGTTTAAAATACTATTCACAAATCTTTCATTCATCATTCATACCGTTTTATTTTCTTTCATTTCCATTCATTCCACTAACTATCCTTGATCTTGATCCACCCCTGCAGGCTGTGTGTGTCTTGCTTGTACTCTGGCGCTTGCTTTCAAGGTTCCCATTCCTTGGTTTGCTCAACAGTCTGTTCTGCTCTGGGGTCTCTCTCTGTAGGATAGCTGGTAATCTTGCAAATATACTGACTAAAAATATTATAATTTTATGAGATGACACAATACTATTAACAGTGTTCAGTGACGGTATACACTGATATGCCACCTTTAAAATAATAATTAAAATTCTTCTCTGACTTCTCATGATCGACTGACCACGAGGCTAGCTCGGGCTTTCCCTCGCTTCCTCGACTAGGCACAAGTATCTCGTGCTGTCCCTTGTTGCACGGACTTTATGCTTGCCACTATGTAATCGTGAGGACCATGCAAAGCCCCTGATCACATACCCCACCCCCCCACCCCCCTTCTTAACAAAATGGGGAAAGCACGAGATAATTGTGCCTAGTCGAGGAAGCGAGGGGAAGCCCGAGCTAGCCTCGTGGTCAGTCGATCATGAGAAGTAAGAGAAGACGGTTGTAGGAATTGAAGATGTCGTCTTTATGTCGCGAAAATGGTTAATGTTCGAATATGTCGCGAGTGAAAAAGTGTGAATAATGTTTGAACATGTGAAATAAATGGACCAGAAAAAACTGACAGAATGTACAAAGAAGCTGAGCGGCGTTAGTGTTGTCAACCCTATACGTTAAAGTAGTGCAAGTTTTGTAGCAGTAAACATCCAGAGAGTGAGCCGTGACGAAAGGAGATTTGTCGTAAGACAAGGTGCATGACGAGTAAAGTCGGTGCAAACCAAGGTTCATTCCAAGTAAACCACGATTCATTCCAAGTGAAGCAACGCTTCATTCCAGCTGTAATTACAGCCATATGTTTTAATTACCTCTAACGTCATCCAGAACAGGTTGAATATTAAAACAGATAAGGACAAAAAAACAAAAACATTCAAGAATATTTTCGCATTATTGACTTTTTGGGCATATTATATATAATAACGGACTATATTGTATCGGCCGATAAACTAGATAGGTGATGTTAACATGAAGTGGACGATCTTCTCAGAAAATTTTCCTGATTTATATTTTAGGCTGGGTGGACCTGGTAGTCAAGATCAGTTGTGCACTTCTATCACAATGCACATTGAAGTCTTAGACCAATATTAGGGCAAGTAAACTGGTCAAACGCAGTTCCATTATTCATTTGGACAGGCATGGCCTTCCTTCCCTAATGACCCTAACTTGCTGGCAGATAATCCGATTGCCATTACATCTCTCTTAGCTGCTTGTAGTGGCTGATTTGTGCCTCCTAGTGAAGGTATCTTTTGTGGACAGTATTCGGCATGTCAAACCTCATTATTCTGCCCTGAATAGTCTTGGTGGAATCCTTCTCCATTTGCCACCTCCACATCAATATAGTCTAGACAGTAAATCCACTTCTCTTTAAGTTATTATAAAATGAAGCACGAAGTTAAACTACATAATTCTTCTCTGCAACATTAGGAAAGTAAAAACTAAACGACCATTTTTCACGCTTTTAGGGGTATTGGGCGTAAATGACCTGAACTATATTTTATAGACCAATCTGTACTTGATGGGTGATGTGGTCAGCATCAAGTTGGCCTTTATTGTTGAAGTCTGCACTTGGAACCCACCCAAGGCTGGGCCCGTCCTAGAGGCCAAGGTCATTTTTAATAACAACAAAATAAAAAGTACAGCTTACAACATGCCGTTTAGTTCCACTATAATCTTCCCAAGTTACACACTAGCTCGCCACTGAATGGTCGACCTCCAGTCACCCGACCTTCGCACACTGCTGGGGATCAGGAGTGTGTGTTCTGCAATGCGTTGATATCGATTGTTGTATATTTAAGCACGCCAGCGCTTTTAACACTAAATAAAGATTTATAAACCGGGTCTAGCCCACAGGCATTCTCTTTTTTAGAAGAAAAACGTAAATGCAAGACAAGCCAGAAATCAAACATCATATCCGTAGCTCCCCGGAAAGCAGACGAGACTAACAAATGTATCAATGGAACATGACCTAGTTCAGCTGGGAAGATTATAGTGGATCTAACCCAACATGCCATTATTCGGTATGATCCACGATAATCTCCCCACGTTACATACTAGCTCCCTCCTGATTCTTCAACCTCCAGTCACCCGACCTTCGCCCACTGCTGGGGGGGGGGGGGTGTTCGGCAATGCCTTTATATCGTGTGTTGTATATTTAAGCACGCCAGCGCTTTTAACACTACAAAAACATTTACAAACTGGGTCTAACCTCCAACCACTAGAGAGTGCTGCAATTTATGTCACATGCATTGTCTTTCTAAGAAGAAAAAGGTAAATATAAGACAAGGCAGAATGGACAACATAACCGTAACCCCACCCCCTCTTCCCCCGGACATCAGGCGAGTCTAAAAAATGTATCAATGGAACGCGAAGTAGTTTGGCTGGGGAGATTATCGTGGATCACACCCATTTTTCGGTAAATTTTACGCTGATCTCCCCATTTGTGCACCGCTACACACAAGCTCGCTTCTGATTGGACTATCTACTGAGCACCTCACTTTTGATAGGTCGGCCTCGAGCGATCCGACTTTCACACAAAGTCACCGAGATATTCTGCACTCGCGATGAAACCGCGTGCTGTATATTTCACCATGCCAGAGCTTTTAACACTTCTAAAACGTTTAGATACTGAGTCTAACACACCCCGCCCCCGTAAATACCAGACAATAACAGACTGCGACCCATAACCTCGACCACGGTAGACTAGTCCAACTAACTTATCAATGGAGTTGCCCTACAACTGGTGGTATGCAAATGGGGAGACCATCGTAAAAAAAAAATAAAAACCTTATTTTACTAAACTATGTAAGAGAAGATTGACCCGGAAATCTGGCCTACTCTCAACATTCAGGCGAAAGTCGAGAAGAATGTACAATCAGACAGTTACTTGTGCCATCGGAATTAAAACTCTTCGCTTGCTGCTGAAGAGAAGGACGGAACGCTTATGGAAGTGTGCCAAATACTATGATGTTGATTCGTAATTCAATATTCAAGATTCACATTGACATGAAAAATTGATTACTTTCTATTACCACTACTATTTATTTCGGGTGTCTTCTTTATCACAGATCGCTTTGCCTTCAGAACGTGTCTTAGCGATGGCACTTGGCTGAACAACTGGACCAACTACAGCGCTTGCGTTGATGTTCCCTTTTCCTTCAGTAACTCTTCGGATGATGACTCTCATTCTACAGAGGTCACCATGAGTGAAAGCTATGTAAGTTTAATGTATTATGAGTTGAATTAACTGAATGTTTATAAAAGGTTTACAGTAGCATGCCTCTGCTTTGAACCTGTGATATCTTTCATTTATCATCACCATCATCACCATCATCAAGTCAGCTAGCGTGGTTTATCATGTACATCTACAATCTTCAACAAGATGTATCATTTTGTGTGCTGACACATCTCTATGACCCAAGAAAAGCCTCAAGAAACTTCTTGCGTTATTTTCCTCTGGTTCTCTTTCCACAGACCTGTCCGGTTGTCAAAACATATTCCAGATTTTGTGTTCTGGAAGCATGACCACACCAAAAAAAAAAAAAAAATGACGAATTTCTATTTCTTACGTCTGATATAAGTGGTGTTCGAGTCTTTGCCTTCTTACAAAACATCACTTTTTTTTTAAAGTTATCCAAAAAGGTCTACGCATTTTTGTGTAAAACATCTCTGAAGCCTCAAGAAATGATCATCTAGCATTCAACATTTAATGGCTGGGGAACCCTTCAGGTTTACACTAAACTGATGAATCAACAAAAATCGAATACGGGCATCATTCTTATCCAACGTTAAAAAAGCACATGCAAAGTTAGTAAATCACACTATTTCACGCTTTCAGACCAAATGGGTATATAGGGCTAGATCTATAGTTTATAGACCAATCGACACTTGAAGCGGGAGGTCAACATAACCGCTCACCGTTATTTCCCAGGACTGTAGCTTGTACCCATTTAAGGTTGGGTCGACTTGGAAGCCAAAGTTATTTTTTTTTAAATGTCACGTTTCGTTCGGACCTGATCCCCTGATGTGGGGATCCGCAGGCGAGAGTTTAGCCACTACACCATGACGGCTCTCCAAAAGACAACATTATTTACAGAATTGTATATTAACCAAGCATGGATCAAATGAGAAACACACAGTCTCACCAGAGAATATTGTTGTATCTAGTGTCTACTGAACATTATAGAGAGAAATGATCGGTCGGTTGCGCTGTGTAGCAGATAACATGCAGAAATAAAAATTATAAGCATAGTTGTGGCCATAGAACTGTATAATAAAAATCTCTCTGATTGATCATAGTAAAAAAATAAGATTATAAGGACACAACACACAACAGATGAATCGACATTTTCACACAAAGTTAGACAACGCGCACATCATCACACGCTCCGTTGTCCATCTACACGCACACCCACACACTCATACAGTCACATACCCACTCACACACACACTTATACACTAACCCATATACACACACAGACTCACAGACACACGCAAGCACAGCACGCACACTCACACACACGCACTCACATACACACTCACACACATACACTAACTCACACACACGCACGCACACGCACACACACACTCACTCTCACATACACATACTCACTTACACACGCGCGCACGCATACACATACACACATACTTTCTCGCTTTCAGCACGACCAGTATCGCTCACCCCCTTAATCTGTAACTGCAGCCAGCAAAATGCCACCCAGGCCGATACATTTCACATCTCCATGGCAGCAAGGCGGCTGCTGGACCAGCCCAGCATAAATCACTTTCAAATCTCAGTCTCAAACCCAAAGAAACTAGTAAAAATTGCGCAAACATTGACACCGTCACAGCAAATGTTTAACTTGTTCAGTACCCAGCGACAGCATCTGTGGTTTAGGCTTAATGAACGCGCTTTGTCGTGCGGAGGTGTCCGGTTCGATTCCAGCTGCGGGCGATCTAGCAGCAGACCTCCGTGCGCTGATTTCGACTATGGTATCGAGAGCAAGCCGTTGAGTAAGCAGGGGCAAACTACTGTATGTAAGATTGCCTAGTAAAAATACAGACATCAAAAAGAAAACAAAAATTACTGGGCTTCGATTCTGCCTTCTAAATAAAACGCAACTTGTAACAAGTGTGTGTTTTTTCTTTCTTGTTGTTCGGGACAGTACTTTGCAATACATTGTTGTTTTTGGTAATCAATGTCTCTGTCAAAGGAGTTAAAATACGATTCTCTGGCACTGAGGACAGTAAGAATTGTGATCACGCAGGTGAGTCTGGCAGTAAGATTTGGGTGGGTGACGGGATTTGGAAAGACGGAGTTAGCAGCAGTGTAAGCTGTCAACTGAAACCAAGATATATGTGATTAGTTACGGTGGTCGACTCGACCAGGAGCCAATATTCCTGATGAAACTGGCCATGGAAAAGGACTAACAAGCTGTTTTGTCTCCTTGCTGACAGTCGCGTGTGTGAATCCTCTTGAATTGGGCATTTTGTGCATTGACTTCATCTTCTTCTTTTGTCATTCTGCCTAGGCCGCAAAGCTTTATATGTAATTTTGTGTCTTTTGCTACTTGCGTACCTCGTGTCAATGTCATAGAGTGTAGTGTCTCATTTACTCCATCTACCCATATCTTTCTCTGTCAGCCTCTTGCAATCTAGCCTACTGTTTTCATCTAGTACGCTCTAACTGATTGTGTTCCATTCTAACCAAATAACCAAACCATTTGGTTTGCTGATATTCTGTTATATAATTCACTGTTACTGTGCCTACTAGTGTTCTTGGTCCTTCATTGATGACTCTCTTCTTGTTCTTCCCCCCTGCAGTTCTTATGTATCTCATTTTACATATTGTAGTTTTGCTGTGTTTAAAAGTTTTTTTTTTTTTTTTTTTTTTTTTAATTAGGACCGTCCATGCCTGACACTGATAGCACAAAGTTGATACGAATAGCAAATTTGTCAGCTGCTTTTGTATGTGCATGTTGATGCTTCAAATGTGGAGCTATTTGGTAATTGAGGTCGTTGGCCTGTGTTGTGTTTTCTACTTCTCTGTCCAAATCCCTATTCTCTGTCAAAACATTACCTAGGTAAACTTCTTAGGTTATTTTATTGTCTCTCAAAAACAATTGTCGGCTCTGTGGCTGAGTCGATGCGAACGCTTCATAATGCCGAGATGCCCAGTTCGATTCCAACTGCGGGCCATGTGCCTTGCTTTGGTTTCAGCAGAGGTATCAAGACAGCCGACAGTCAAGAAAGCAATGGCAAAATACTGGACGTAAATTTGCCTAGAAAAACCACACAACAGCCAGGAGCTGTTGGGATTGGTTCTGCAACGTCCTGTAAAGGATACGCAACTAACCATAAACAATTATGTTATCGGCCCGGAATTTTCTATTGAGTGTCATTATGTCTGTATGTTTCGTTGATTTTGTATTTTTCACGTTTTAGTTTTTATGACGGTTGTTAAGTCTATTTTGGTGGTTATCCTTGTCTTTCTATAAGAGGCCGTGATCAGCAGCAAATATAGACCCATTTTAAACCTCTCACTGGGGGTTTGCCTCCTTAGCTATCTCATCTCTCACTACAATAAACAAGAGTGATGACAGTAAAAACCCCACAGGAAGCTTGGAACCAGTTTGTCATGCCCTCGTAACTCGTTAGTTCTCTCAGCACATTCTTTTGTGTGGTGCGTAGATCTGAAGTTGACTAGCAATTGTCCATTTACATCATACTCTTCGAGCACTGGCAATAGCATTTGCTAACATAGTCGGTTAAAGGTCGTTTCCTGATCAATGAAAGTTACATGTGGTTCATAGTTATAGTTTCGGGTTTTTGCACTCATCTATCTCAGTGTAAAAATAACATCGGTGAGCCCCTTCGATTTCTGAAGGCCAACTGCAGATTATTTAGCAATAGTTCTTTATATTTTTTTTACTCTTTGGTCCAAAAAGTTTACACACTTTTCCTATGTGATTAAGAAAAGATATGACCCAGTACTGGCTACATTCTTTCTTGCTGCCCTTGATTTTCAATATTCTTGATTTTCTTAATAAACAAATTCAAGGAAGGTTAAAGATAGTTAATGACTGTTCCATGTGGTCTCGTAATCAAGATATAGCCTTTGCCTTTTCTTTGTACTTTACCTGTCACGTTTGTTATAATGTTTCTCCTAAGAATATCTCCGCAATATATGCTAATGTCTTTAAAATGTTACCGCTTTTGTCTTTTTCTTGACAAATTGCCTCATTTGTGTGTCTATGTTCCCGTGTATTTATGCATTTTTTTTTTCAGAAACTAAATTTAACTTGTAATGAGGTGTTTCTCGCCTTGTTCGTGTTTTGTCAAAGGTGCACATGCGAGAATGTATGTAAAGCTAGAACCTATCATTCTTCCTATGTATTTGTCTGTGTTTCAGTCTGCTGTACTGTCTCTCTTATTGTTCTGCCTAGTGAGCCTATGTCTGTGATGTGTGTGTATGAATTAGTTAGTTGAGTTATCATCATTGCACTTCAGACATGTCCATATGTGCTCAGATCCTCCCCTCAGTATGAACATCAACGTCTGATGGCTAATAGTACCAGTTCTATGTTGATTCCCAAGTCTGCCATTCTGGCGAGTGATGTGGATTCACTGCCCCCAAAGTCCTCTATCCTTCCAATTTCTCTGAGGGCATTACAAATATCAGCATGATTCATAGGCTGACCGTCAGTACTGATAGCGGATCCAGCGAACCTATCAGCTCTTTCATTTCCATCGACGCTTGCGATTCCTGGAACAATATTTATGAATATTTTGATATAATAACATAAAAATGCTTGAATAATGATATACCATTATCGTGTTGAAAAAAGTGTCTAAAAGAGATTAATGTTGGCGGACCTGTAGTTTGTACGTTCGTTCGTTTTTCTGATTGAATTTGAAGTTTCTTTTACTAATGTCATAAAGTTTGCGATATCGTAATGTTGTCCTGAGCTTGAAAAACAACAACAATTACAAACACTGTTGTTGGATATGCACGTTCTTGCACCAAGATAATATGGTGTACTAGGAAGTCATCTATGTTTTGAGACAACATTAACAGTGTACACATCTGTACTCGGGTGTAAGGCTTCATGTCGACATGGCACGACACCAGGCCATTGCTCCAGAAGTGCAAAGTGGTCGCAAAGTGTCATGTAAACAAATGAGTAAACAAATGAG